CCGTTTGCGGTCTAGGGCTTTCCTTAGCCCCAAATAACCTACCCTTTTAGGGTTCCTTATACTATGGTTTCTTTATATTTTACCCCAAATAAGCCTACCTTTTTAGGTTCTTTTCATTAGGGCTTCTTTATATGTTACACCAAATAACCTACCTTTTTAGGGTTCCTTATATTTTGGTTTGCTTCTTTATATGAGTCCTGAAGAAAGTGTTTTTTTCGGGGTCCCGGGGCTCCAGATAACCAAATACCACAAAGCAGGCTGAACCCTAAACCCTAAAACCCTGAAATCCCTAAACCCCTAGCTCCTAAACCCTAAACTAAAACAACCCTAAACCCATAAATCCCTAAATCCCTAAACCCTAAAAACCCGAAACCCCTAAACCGTCGTCTGATTTAGGACTGAACGGTTGGAAGCTTGCCAGGTTCTGCTCTACAGCGGTCTTAGCGATTAGGGTTTAGAGTTTAGAGTTTAGGGTTTAGGGTTTAGGGTGTATAAAGATGTAGATACAGGGTTTAGGGTTTGTAGAGTATAAGTGTGTGTGTGTGTATAGATATATAGAGAGAGGGAGAAAGAGATGTATTGGGAAATGAGAGGAAACTACTCTAGACCCCTATAGCGCACAACCTTCCGACACGAGGTTTGATCCTAAGCCCTGAAGAAGCCTCAGAATGCATAGTAGGGTCTGTCATGATTTGCGGCTTAAACCTTCCGAAGAAAAGAAAGCAGTCCTTCAACCGACGAAACGGAGTTTGTATGCTCTGATCTCCCACACCAAGGACTCTGTAGAAGTTTCATTATCCGAAGGCGTGGCTGAAGTTGCCGTAGCCTGAACCACAAATCGCTAGACCCTGAACCCCTACATGCCTAAAGCCCTTATAAACCTTGCACCCTGGGTTGCACCCCAAAGTTCAACAACCAAAACGGCCCGCACAAGCTCTAAACCTCGAAATAGTAGAGCCTAAACTCTAAACTCCTAAACCCTATAAACCCAAAGCCCTCAGAACCGCGAAGAGCCAAACACTTCCTTGCAGAACCGCTTGAAGCAAACCCTGCTTCTCTTTGAAGGCCCTTCACCTCAGGGTCAAAGAAAGACCTATATACCCTAAACCCACAACCCACCGCAACCCTAAACAAAAACCCAAGACAATAAACTTCAATCCTACACCCTGAAGCCTGAACCCGAAACCCTGAACCTTCAACCTGCAACCCTAATGAGAAAGTTTGCCTCGGGCCACTGCGGGGGAGGTCTCAGCGCGCTGGCATCCTGAAGCATGGGGTTCTCAGCGGCCTTTTCGGGTCCTAGGGTCCAGAAACGGTTTAGGGTTTAGGGTTTAGGGTTCCGGCTCCCATTCGGGGGGCAGGGATTACTATAAAGATTATTGAAAGGGTTCCTATTGGGTTATTAGGGCTTGCTGTAAGGGCTATTATGGCTTACTATCAGGGCTCCTATGATGGGAGAGCTTGGGATACAAGAGTTACCATAAAGGGTTTCCAGAAGGGTTCGTGTTGGGGCTTGCTACAGGGGTTAATATTTCGTGCTTACTATCAGGGCTAATTTGAGGATTCCTAGAAGGGCGTCTTACTATGAGAGTTACTATACGGGTGATTCCCCAAACCCTAAACACTGAATTCCCAGAGCGGAGGGGGATATCTTTTAACCGAATTAAACAGAATCACGACAGCTATTCTATGGACATAGTTGTCATATGTCGTCATTATGATTGCCGAGTTTTTTGACCGCTTCGGTGCTACAGAAAGTCTGCTGTAGATTTACTGCACATGTTCCTCGGAGCCAGCAATGCTGCCAAGGAGCATGCTAAACCCTAAACCCTAAACCCTAAACCCTAAAACCATAACGACTAAACCCTGGATCCCCAAAGCCCGCCTTGAAATCGCCAGCGTCACCCTCCCCAAGAAAGCAGACCTGCCGTCTGTTACACGGGGTTTCTTCGAACTCGGGTCTCCACTCACGTTTTGGGTGTAGGGCTTACCTGGGGATCCAAAAACCTACTTTTTTAAGGGTTCTACCCTCTAATTAAGGGGTCATAACCTATACTATTTTGTAGGGTTTGGGGTCACAGGTAAGGCTTTTAGGGTTTGGGGTGCATCGCATTCAGGAACTTTCTCAAAAGATTTGTGGGTTTACCGTTTAGGGGTTCGAAGTTGGATTCAAAGACTACGATGCACCAAGTTTTGAGGGGGTATATCGGGGCTTATAAGGGTCATGGTTCTTAAGAAGTCATCGGAGGTATCTAAGCTTAATGGGATGGATCATGAGGCCTCCGTAGTAACGACCTAGTCGACTGTATCTAAGACAAGACTATAAAGGCTTAAAGTAACCCTAACCCGTAAACTTGGCCCTAAACGCTGAACAGTGTCCTTATAAATTATAGCCCTAGTTTTAAACGGCTTGTTGAGAGTCCTCCGTCGAGCTTCAAAGGATTCATGAAGTCTTGTATGCTGTACAAAGACCTTGCATTGCACTGATGAGGCCTTCAACAGTCATAAGCAACCCTAACCCCTAAACGCTACAGTAAGGCCATAGCTTGTTTTATGTAGGTGCTTCACGCACGGCTTACAGAAGCTATCCAGTAGAAGCCCCTTAATTAAAAAAATGGAACCTAATAGGCGTTGTCTTCCAGATGTTTGCGTTCTTCGACACATCCGGCCCTTTCTAGCCTTGTTTGTGTTAAGGGCTTAAGGGATTTAGGGCTTTAGGGTTCGTCTTAGGGGTCAAAGGGGTTTCGAGTTTAGGAGCCTGGGGTTGTAGCAGAAGTTTTCTGATTCCTGTAGCGCAGGGGTGCTACCCCATCTAGAGGGATATTGTTATGAGGTGTTGTCAACTCTGTAGTGTGTGTGTCGTGAAACTTGCATTTGGGTTTCGAGTCTCAAAGCCGAAACGCTTGTAAGACAGCTTGATGCACCCAGGCCGGAGGCCTTCCGCCGACCGATCGGTGTGTTGTCTCAATCGCCGTCGAGTCACGCAGCGCAGCGCAGCCTTCGCATTCGCGAGGTATGTCAGCGGTACGACGCCGCTGTCCACGGCGTTAATCAACAACATGGCTCCGAGCTGGGTGGAGTTGGGCGCAAGCTCTGTGAGCAGAGCCACAATGTATGCGGCAGGAGTCTCGACTCCAAAAGCTACAGCCCCTGTCGAGGCTTTAAGTTTTCCTTGTTCAGCGCAAAAGGCAAGCAAAGCGCGGCCTGTGCCGCCAGTGTCGGACAGCCAAGGACAGAAGTTGCTACGGCAGCAGGCAGCATTGACAGGACTTGCGGTGCCAGAACGTGAGTGCTTGCCGCCATTGCACGCTGTATGCCGAAACCCCGCCGCATGGTCATGGAGTCCCAACGGAGACCAACGTGACGTTGAACCGCATGAGTGGCCAATCCTCCATATAGGTGGTTGTCAAAATTATGCTCCCTTTTTGGGTCCTTATTATAAACGGCACCTATTATTTAGGGTACCCCAAAAGGGACCATAGTTTTGACAACTACCCATATGCATCGAAGTCCAGAAGACCTACCACCAACGGAGCCGGTGGCGACAAGATGAGTGTTGCGATGTAGCCAGGTGTCCAGCGAAGCAGTGTCTCGAGCAAGGGCTTCTTCCTTCCGGCCGCACCTGTCACTGCGGCCACACTCTTGAAGGTGGCGCGTCCTAACCCTACTTGGAGGTTCATGGGTAGTTATAAGTGGGTTATAAGCCCCTTAATATGGGTTATAACTATAGTTACCCTACTTATAACCCCACTTATAACTACCCATGAACCTCCAAGTAGACCCAAAACCCAAACCTACCCAAACCAAACTTCAGTCACAGGTCCGTCGCTTGCTGATGGCAGTCGTAAAGTAATTCGCTAGCCTAATCTCTACACCCTTCTCTTGGATTCTATTCGGGTAGGTGACAGCCGCTCTGATACCCAAACTTCCAAAACCTCAAACCTAAACTCTAAACAATAAACCCTTGGATCCTAAACAACTGTGGCCGTCGGAACCTTTCCGCAGCAACCCCCCAGATAAAAACCAAGGTATGCGGGAACCCAGCAGTCACTAGCATTAGAGGGTTTAGGGTTTAGGGTTTAGGGTTTAGGGTTTAGGGTTTAGGATTTATTACTGGTGCCATTATTACTGGTATTGTAATACTTTTTGGGAGTTGCCTGCTACTAGAAACTGATGTATGCTCCAAGGACCAAGCATCACAGAAGTCCAATAACCAGATGTAGAAGCCCCTGTGTTATGTGACTCTACCAATACAAGTACCCTGAAGCCGTAGTCGTAGAACTCCAAACCCTCGAACCCTGACGCTATTGACGGCTTATAGGGTTTAGGGTTCAGGGTTCAGGGTTTAGGGTTCAGGGTTTAGGGCTCAGGGTTCAGGGTTTAGGGTTCAGGGTTTAGGGCTCAGGGTTTGAGGTTTAGTAAGCCGGATAGAAGAAGAGCTCCCGCACCTCGATTTTAAGATTTCTCAGGATCTTGGGCGTTAGCAAAAGAGTCAGGGATGTCAGGAGCAGCTCATGTAGGGCCGTAGGGGCCTCAGTAATTAGAATAGGGTTTTGGGGGTTCCTTACAATGAGTATAGTATTCGTATACCCCAAACCCTATTCTTATTATTAAAGCCCCCTATATTACCCGAATCCAGCCATGATGCAAAATCCGAGGTCCCTGATTTGGCAGGTCAAGCAAAACAACATCCTGCAACATTCTATCAAACCCCGAACCCAAACCCTAAACCCTAAACCCTAAACCCTAAAACCTAAACCCTAAGCCCTAAGCCCTAAGCCCTAAACCTAAACCCTAAACCCTAAACCTCAAACCCTAAACCCTAAGCCCCGAACCCCACCAGCCCCAAACCTCGACACCAGTAGATGAAGGTACTTAAACCCGAACTCGACTCGTATCCCATCCTGAAGCCTAAACCCTCAATCCTAAGCCCTACACCCTTAACCCTATACCCTAAATCCTAAGCCCTAAACCCTAAACCCTAAACCGCGGCAAAATGCCTCGAAGCTTTGTGCCGAGGACACGAAGATCTGCAGCAACATGGGGGGAGTGTCGGCTTTAGAGTCCGATTTCTGGTAGTGTTTAGGGTTTAGGGTTTAGGGTTTAGGGTTGATTCGGATGCGCAGAAGGTGCAGAGCATAGGGTGTGCAGGGCGCTCTATCCTGCGGGAGTTTCAGGGATTGATATTTGCATGGGGATTTTGACCATGAGCTGAGTTACCTGGGGTGTTACACACCCGAAACACACCACAAACAGGTCAGACACGACATCGAGACCCTACACCCTAAACCCTAAGTCCTAAACCCTAAACCCTAAGCTGCAAACTCTAAACCCGAAAGCCCCAAACCCTAA